TTTAAAGTCGAATTGTCGTTAAAAAAGTCAAAGAAAATTTGAAATGGAGTTTTGAAAGGATTTTAAAAGGACAAAATTACATCTTTTATATATTTAACATTTAAAATTTTTATGTTTTGAAATTTCATTTAAGATTCATTTTTTTTTTTTTTGAGAAATTTTAAAATAGAAAAATAGATGTTATTTGTTTAGCAAATTTTATATGTTTTGAAAATAGTTTATAGTTTATTTCTGCACGTCAAAGTACGAAATTCTATAAGCACTAAATGGTTCATGACTAACACCTTGGCATAATTTTATGAAATGTAAAATAGCAAGAGACATAGAGAGATAAAAAGTTTAGAGGTTAGAGATGTGTCTGTACAAAAGCATATACACTCCATTGCATATTACCCGGTTATTTACGTGATCGCTTAATCACACTAGTACATAATTAAAACATAAACATGGTAGAAACTTAATTGATTGGATGCTTAATGGCTTAATATGTTAAGATCATTATAGCTTAATAGTTTACAATCATTGTTTAATGCTTTTTAAGTTCGGTAACATTAAAAAGTAGTTACCGAACTTAAAAAGTTCAAACTTATATTAAAACTTTTAGAGTTGTTTCCAGGCAAGTGATAAGTCGCCTTTCAATTTGAAATTGCCAATTGATATTGACGAAAAAGTTTTTGATAATGATAAGGGAAAAGTTTATATAGAGTCGATGCTCTAAACAATCAAATTTGAGCATACCTCAAAAATTTCACTAGAAGAGGTTGTTTTGATGTTCAAATATAATTCAAATTGATCATACGGACATCAAGATGTATGGACATGAAAAAAAAATGGATTTCAAGTTTTGAAAATAATATATTTTGTAACGCATTTTTTGGACAGTCAATTTTCAAGTTTTCATAGATCTGTCGATCTACACTATTTTTGAAGCTTTCAATATTATAAATAAATATAAAAAATATATTTTAAGTTTATCATTAAAATTTTCAATATTGAAACCATATTTCTCGATACTATTTCAAAGTAGGGTTTAATTTGATTGTTTAGAGCATGGGCTCTATACAAACCGCAATGATAATAGTGGGAACGCGATATATGGATTTTGGCATCATATTATTAGGATTAGAAGTCATAGAGAAAATAATAGAAATAAAATAAATTCATTGAAAGATAATTGACACTGAACTTTTCATTTTGGGGTTGGGAATGATTCTATGAAGCAATGATTTATTTTTGTATGTGTTATGTGTTTCTCTGGTTTTCCACTACACAAGTGTATGTAATACGGTACACTGGTTCATGTGGACGCTGACTCATTGTCCATTTATTTCAAGATGTTCCTATTCGCTACCCGGCATTGACGCTCTCTTGACTCACAAACCGACCACATTTTCGGGCTTTGGCCCTAAAAATTACTATAAAACGTGTTTGATAACAGGAAGTTAGAGGGAGGAAGAAGAAATTTTCTTGTTGTTGTATAAATTCTGCATTTGATGCACAGAACTTATATAATAAAGAAGTTTCCTTAGAACTTTCTTACTCTTTTGTGCTTAAACAAAAAACCTTAAAATAGGAACTTTGCTTTCAAAGAGGGCTTTTTTTCTCAAACCTTATTCGGCCTCTCTTCTTATAACTGTATTGTTAATTTATATTTATATGATATTTACACACATGTACTTAGAACTTCTTTACTATTTTATTAAGTTATCAAATACAAACACCTAAAACTTCCCCTGAGATCTTCTTTTTTAGCAAAAAGAACTCAAATTTCCAGAGAACGTCTACCTTTTAGTTATCAAACAAGCCTTATAAACGTGTGTGTCTTTCGGGAAAGTGGATTTGCGTCTTTCAAGAAAGTGGATACCCCAAATTTTTATAGTCATCTATAGAACTGGTGGTATCTACTATTTCTGGCCTTAAATATAAGGTAAGTGGTTGCAATTTAAACAACCACTAGACATAGTTTACAAAAATCATATCTTCCAAAAAAATCATATCTTCCAAAAATCAAACAAGCTCTAAAACAATCCAATAGGCCCTGGGAGCCGCAATTCAGTAGGGGGTATTTTGAGGATTTACACCATTGAAAAGCGCCATACGCGTGTTCCACAAATAAACTGAAGTGTTGGTGGGGTCATTCCTATCAAGAAAAAAAGGTGGTCTTGCGTGACTCGGGGTACTTTGGCAAAACAAGAAAAAAACTCTCTTGGGTGATAATAATGTTACACCAAACCTTGACAAGTTTGGTGCTTATATAGACCATCCTTTCTCTTGCAAATTCCTCACATACTCCCAATCCCAACCTTGCTCCAATCAACGATTGATTGGTGATAAGTTGTACTCCTCTCTATCTTCTTTCTATCCAACATGTAATATCAATATCAATATGAGCAACGTGTTGGCTAGAAGTCGTTCTGTCCCGGCTCGAGTCCAAAGTTTCATGGTATGAATTTTTCTTTTTCTTTTTTTTTTGAATGCTTTCATGCATGTGTTTTATGTCTTTAACTTTTATTTGTGAATTGTCTTCTCTTCTGCCTGCGAATCAATCATTAGGTTTATCATTAAAATCTGATTTTCTCGTAAATTTAGATTCTATCTAATCATTATTATTGTCATTAATTTTTTTCAACTATTTAAGATCGACTATACGAATTTTGATACATTCTATCTAATTTATATATATGAAAAGAATTATTGATTGCATCTAAACATGCGCTGACACATATGTATGTAGGAAGTAAAGGGGTTGTTTTTGTTATTTTATTATATTGGGAAAGTAAGGTACAACTTCGCTTTAGAAAGTATGTGCAAACTCAAGACCTCCATGGCTGGTCCTCTACTTTTACATAAATTATTTGTGGGATGCTGAGTCTCAACCAAAGCTGGATGGCTAGGCGTTATATTGATGGGAAGTAGGGGGCAGATGAGCCACGTTTATGAGGGGCGTGCTCCCATTTTTGAGACCAGCAAAATAATAAAGGAAAATGTTTGTATAGGGTTGCAACTTTAAAATGTAGAATTAAATGTGCACCTCAAAGCTCCAATATAGAAGGTTATTTGGATGTTGGAAAACCCTCTAATTGATCATCTCAACATCTAGATGTAGGGATATGAAAGAAAAAATGATTTCGAGCCTGCAAATAGTGTATTTTGGAACACATTAGCTGGACCGTCTATTTTTTAGATTTTCATGTGTTTATAGATCTACTTGACTTGAACCATTTTTAGAGTTTAAAATTTTATAATTAGAGATGAAAATAGATTCTCAAGTTATCCTTAGAATTTTTTATATCAAAATTACAATTATGATAAAATTTAGAGGTGTGCCTTAATTGGATTGTTTAAGGTTGCAACCTTACAAAAACCACACCCAATAATAAAAGGGAGAAGTTTATATAGAGCCGAGGCTCGAAACAATCAAATTAGAGCCTACCTCAAAAATTTCACTAGATGAGGTTATTTTGATACTCAAATATATTCAAATTGATCATCTTGACCTCAAGATGCATGGACATGTGAGAAAAATGGATTTCAGGTTTTAGAAATAGTGTCTTTTGTAATGCTTTTTGAACTGTCAATTTTCAAGATTTTCAAGTTTTCATAGATCTATCGATCTATTTTTTAATCTTTTAAACTTTATAAATTAAAATTAAAATATATTTTAAAGCTATCACAAAGATTTTCAGTATTGAAACCACATTTATGGATACTATTTGAAAGTAAGCTCTAATTTGATTGTTTAGACCCTAGGCTCTATACCAATCGCACCCATAAAAAAGACAGTTTGTATGAGTCCATAGACTCACATGTAGAAATCCGGCGCCCCTAATAATTTATTTTTGAAATAGAATTTGATCTTAATTTTTAGGGAATATATAATCTTTAATATAGAGATTATTAATATGTAAAAATAAATAAATTTTAAAAACCAAAAATCATATTTTTTGGAAAAAATATTTGAACAATTGATTTTACTTTTCTCTAGAGGACTATTATTTACGAGAAGACCCGGTTTTGGTGGACGGTGTAGATCTCCAAACCCGTAAACAGGTGCGGGCTTGACCACTCCAAACAATTTTCCATAATAAAATGAGGAAGAATAGGTTGTTCTTGTATCCACAGACGAGTAAGTTCAGTGGGGGTGCCTGATATGACATATTCTTATCTTTCCACTTTATTTGGAGTGAGATTTCACGTAAATGTCATACGTCCACGCACCAAATTTAGTGCGTCTCCGCTTTTTGTGTTTTCGTCGTTTATACAGCACTTAATCTCTCTTTAGATCCATGTTTATTTACTTTTGATCTCAGGGGATAAATTACAAGTGTTGGAAAAATCGAACCCGACCCTGACTAAGGACCGGGTTTGAGTAGCTCGGAAAACAGCCAGTTTACCCAGCCTAACCAGGCAGGTCCCGAGCGTTTAAAAATAAAACAAATATAAAATAATCCTAGAAGTATGAAAAGTATATTTACATTATAATTAAACAAAACCCATCCAAATGAAATTAAAAAGTATTGAAGAAAATAGATTTTAAAAATCGATTTATGTCCGGGGATGTTTTAGAAATAATTCAAAAAAAAGAAAAAAAATTATAAAAATAAGTATTGACGGCCGCATTACATTCAATCTTTGTCAAAATAATAAAAACATTCAAACACACATCACAAACAAATCCCTTAATATTTGGGATTTTATATTTTAAATTTTTATTTTTTTTCAAAATAACCAATCAAACCACCTAAACCGGCCAAAACGGGCTTGGCCAATGGCCGATTCCGAGTTGCAGACCAAACCTGCGAACCATTTTATTGGAAACACGACATCATCGAGTGGGCTACTAACCACCAAGTTACCGACACGAATATACTATCTCAATCAGTCTACATTTTGGGAGCCAAACTTTTCATGGAGCCGATAAGGTACTGCATAAAATTTTTATGCTTTCTTATTCTGAATGGACGTCTGATATGACTTTAATCACAATATCACATTTATAAACTATTTTATTTTTAGTTTTTTTTTTTTTTTACAAATTATTTTGACACCAAAGTTTGAATATCCACTCCTCTCTTAAATTCGCATTTATTAAAAATATAAAAACAATATTCTCAATAAAATATAATGACCAAAATACTTATAAATATTTCAAGAGATATTTTGGTCATTATATTTTATCGAAAACTTGTTTTTAGTATTTTTTTTTAAGTGCGCCCCTTTGAGATGATAGCATGTACCAAATTTCATATTCATATAATTTGTAGAAAAAACTTAAAAAAAAAATTTTTAAGGCGTTAGATCTCGATCAAATGGTCAATAACTCACTTGATCGAAATTAAATAGATGGATGGGAGGAAAGCATATATCTTCTATGCAATAAGGCCAATATAGAAACCTTTCCCTTATGTATTTGCCCCCTCAGATAAAACCCAATATTGTCATTTAGGCAAATCCTTTTTTTTTGTTTTCTTTTAATACTCATTAGCGATTCTAAAAGAATCCGTGTGTTTCACATAATAAAACGTTTTCTAAGTAGGTATCTTTCTAGATGGAGTAGGTGTATAATATTGCTCCAATAAAAATATACTCTGCACACTCATATAATATAGGGAAAGGGGACGTATTCTCGCTTTCTAAAATTATTATCTCAAACAACCCCCTAGTCTTATGAAAAGATTAAGGAAAACCTCAAGAAAAATAAAATAAAATAAAAAGGATATTTAACCCCTTTTTATTTTTTTCATTATCCAAATTATAATATTTATCATTCTTATTTTTTTTAATCACCCCATTTATCTAAATCCTGAAAAAAGCTCTCCCTCTCTTTCTCTCTCTTCCTCAACCATGAACCTCTTCCCTCCTTTCCCTAGCGACCATCCCTGAATACTTATCTCTCACTCTCATCTCGTGAACGTCACAAGTAACTTAAAAGAGGTATCGTAAACTCTATCTATAAGATGAGGTTAATAGAAAAAATAAGGAGAATAAAAGCAGTAATTTGGATAGAGAGGGGTTAAACATATTTCCTTTAACTAGGGGGTTATGATTTTAGAGAGTGGGTATGTGTTTTTTTTCCTAAATTAGATGCATTTGAGCACTCTTATTCATGCGATCTAATGAGTGGCTAGTAGCACTCTTGTGATAGAAAGGTGGGAAACCTAAGGTGGGGAAAACTTTACTCTCAACCAGTATCCCATCACCCATCAAACCAAGTCATAGAATGGCTTATTCGATCTACACTAGAGGAGTAATTTTTATGCAATAATTTATAGTAACATAATAAAGTAATCTTCAAAAATCATTCGAGGGCCCTTATTTAACCACGGTTTTTAAAGTACACTCTTTTTATCCTGATGAACAATCACAACATAACAAAATTTGAATATGTACTCCAAAAAGTGTTTTTTTGACGCAATTAATGTAGGCTGTCCTTTAGGTGAAACGCTTAAATCTAGGCCTTCGAGGCTCTTTTTCATTTTTCAAAGTTTGTAAATTGCTTTATTATCACTCGATGAATGTTGTTAAATACGCAAAAACTGATTTTGAGCTCATAACATTCAACATATACATGGTCCAAACTCATTATCGAGGGGTTTATTTTAACATATCTATTGTGAAAATTGAATTTTACTTTTATTTTAGGATTGACTGCTGGGATAAAGAGTGCTTGTGCGAAATTTGAGATCATATAATTTTTAGAAGTGTGGTTTCATTATATTATAATGACACGATTGCTTGAAATTACTTCACATATGTGTGCTCGTGTAGTGTCTGAGGAATTCCAATTTTTCAAAAAAATTCACCTCGAAACCAGATTAAAGAGCTTTGAATCAAGCATAGGAGTAAGAAGTAAAGTTTTTTTTTTTTTCTTTATGAATATTAACTAGGGACCTAGTGAAAATGGAGCTTAAGTAGCCACATCGTAGGAGACTGCCACCCTGACCAACTATGCCTTGGGCATTTAAGCAAAAAATCATCCACGTTAGGCAAATTAGCCTGAGGTTGAAACGCTTTGAAAGTTAGGTCTTATAGGCTATGGTGGTGAAGAAATTTACTGTTTGTGGAGCGTTTAGAAAACCCGGGGTTTGAGGTTGAGCAATGAAGATGAGTTAGGGTTAAGGGGTACAATAGAACGGTCAAATTGGGTGGAAAAGGATTTGTTAGAGAAGCAGACAAGATGAAGGGGTTAGACGTGAAGAAATTGATGAAAGCATTTGGATTGTTCAACATTTTGTTGATGCTTTAATAGTGCTTTGTGACATCATACATGTACAAGGGTTCTCAATTAAGCCTTTCTTGTAGCTGTTGTTGGTCTTTCATCAATCCTTAGCTTTTAAGGTGTTTGTCCTAGTTTTATTTATTGTTTTTTTATTTTTTTTGCTATTTTTATTAGGATGCAATTTCTACAAGGCCTAAGCTTTATGAAAACAAAACAAAACCTCATGTTGAATCCTCATCCGGAAAGCATTTTGAGCATTAAAAATCTCTATGATGACTCCAAAATCAATTTCCAACACTGACTATAAAATTTGAAGCTAAAAACTTCATGCAGATCTTGCAGAGCTGTAAATACTTATTTTTAGGATGAAATAGACGATCTAGATAATGTGTTACAATATACACTATTTTTAAGACTTGGAATCTTTTTTTCTTTTTTTTTACCATTATAATAGTCAAGACCGAGATGATTGATTTAAAAGTTTTTTTATGCTAGAACTACAATTTTCAATAAATTTTGGGGTGAGGCTTTACTTTTTTGATAGGTCTGCGACCCTATCAAAACATTTTCCTTATTCTTATCATCAGTTTTGTTTTGTGGCTCAGATGGAAGAAGAGGTCATTGGTTGATAGCTAGTAAGTAGATTTTTCCTATTTTTATGACATTGTCACAAGAGTGCAGGTGGGAGTGCTCGTGCACTTAATTTTTTGGAAAAGTAAACAAAGAGACTATTTACTTTTTACGGTCCCTTGAAATGGATAATCCACATTTTTTGGAAAAGTAAACAAACCTCAATAAACTATATCTAAATATGCTCAATCTAGGGTCCCTTGAAATGGATAATCCACATTAAATGATGAACTACTTAGTTGTTGGGAGAGCAAATTGTTTCTTATGGGGGCCGGGAGGATCTGGGGATGTGTAGGGGTGTTCATGTGACTGAAATAACCATGTCAGGTCTGACTCGGGGCTTATATGTGCGCGTGTGTGTTTGTGTGGGCGCGTGTGTTTATGTAATTGACATGGTCCAAAGTACCAGTTAGTTTCAGTTGGGCCCGGATCCCGATCAATCCAACTCAACTCATTTTTGCTCTCCTAACGTCTGATATCTAAACACTTTTACTAAACTTCTCTCAAGCATCCTTCTATCATAATCTGAGGATTCAATAGCTACACTTTTGGAGTTTAAGTTGTGAGACGTAGTAGAGGCTGACACTCATATTCCCATCCTTATATCATAATCTAAGCTACATTTTCCCAATACTAATTTCCTTGTTTCGGTCTAATCATTGTTTAGAGGGACGAGAATCGCAGTTCAAGAAATTATCAACAGATCGAACTGCAACAACAAATTGATGTCGAACAAGACACTCCTCAGCCCGGATATTTGAAGGGCCTTGATGATGATGGACGCCCCAAAAGAACAGGTGAGTTTTTGAAACATAATCATCCCATGATGCCATCTCTCTTATATTCTCTTCTCTCTTAACATTAAAAAAAACAAAAAAAAAATTTCTCTATCTCTAACAGTGTATATTACTTACTATGCAGGGAATGTTTGGACGAGTAGCTCGCACATTATAACAGCGGTGATAGGGTCGGGAGTTCTATCTCTTGCATGGGCAATTGCTCAGCTTGGATGGATTGCCGGGCCGGCAGTAATGGTGCTTTTTGCATTGGTGAACTTCTACACTTCCAACCTCCTCGCTGGTTGTTACAGGTCTGGTGACCCAATCTCTGGCAAAAGAAACTACACCTATATGGATGCTGTCAGAGCCAACTTAGGTACTAATACAATACGTTCGTGTGATTATTGATTCTGGTTTAAAGTTTAGGGTTTAGGGTAACATTTTCATGTAATTGGTGTCATATGCCAATTGCCGATGGTGTATGGTTTAATGGTTTTTAGTTAACTGGTAAGAATGTCAACAATGATTTTTTTTTTGTATAAAAATTATTGAAAGGTGGATCGAAAGTGAAGCTTTGTGGTGCGATTCAGTATATCAATCTCCTTGGGGTTGCTATTGGCTACACGATCGCAGCTTCCATTAGTATGATGTATGAGCCGGCTCTCTTTTTCATTGTTTTTTATGAACTTTAGTGATGTTTTTCTTTTTCTTGTTACTCTAGAACTGGCCATTTCTCTCTATCTTAAGCTTGGTTTTGGGACAGGGCAATAAAAAGATCAAACTGCTTTCATCGGAGTAAAGGGAAGGATCCATGTCACATGTCGAGCAATGGGTATATGATAATGTTTGGAGTTACAGAGATATTCTTCTCTCAGATACCAGACTTCAATGAGGTGTGGTGGCTGTCTATAGTTGCAGCAGTCATGTCCTTCACCTATTCTACCGTTGGGCTTGGACTGGGGATCGCCAAAGTTTCAGGTTTCTAATACCTCTCACTCTCTGTTTATCTATATATCTATCTATTTATCAAAACTGATATTTAGGCCCATGTTCCATGTCTCCATGAATGATTTGATTATCATCAACTGCAGAAACAAGGAAATTCAAGGGAAGCCTTATGGGTATCAGCATTGGTAAAGCGACCCCAACTCAAAAGATCTGGAGGAGTATGCAAGCTTTGGGAGATATTGCTTTCGCTTACTCTTTTTCAATCATTCTCATTGAGATCCAGGTATTTCCATTTCTATCTTTGCAAATGCTGATAAACTGCAAATTAGAATGCTAGTATTGTTCTCAAGTAAAAAGCAATCTAAATAATTACAATTAGAACACAGGAATCAAAACTTGATATAAAGGTGTGGACCCCCAAAATAGGCTTTCTAAATGTTAAGACAGATATCAAAGTTCTTTAAATCTCATCTCAACTAGATTATTGTAATTAACAGTGGTCGAAAGAACAAAAATAATTGCAACATACACTAAAAGATATTGACGAACCACCACATGGATACCCTTTTCCTTTTACACAAAGTGAATTTATCAAGGTCACAAACACCAAATCTGAATTTGTTAGAGATGAATGTTCCCTTTCTTTTATGTGGATTGGTTACACAATGTAAATTATGCAGGACACCATAAAGTCGCCCCCTGCCGAGCACAAAACTATGAGGAAGGCTACCTTACTGAGCATTGTGGTCACTACTGTCTTTTACTTACTATGAGGATGCATGGGCTATGCTGCATTTGGAGATGATTCTCCAGGGAACCTCCTTACAGGTTTCGGCTTCTTCAATCCTTATTGGTTGCTTGACATAGCGAATATGGCCATTGTCATTCATTTGGTTGGAGCTTACCAGGTAACCACACCTCAATTTTCATTGATCGATGAGCGTACCACTTGCAGTCAGTAACTTGGTATAAATAGAGGAATTTAATCCAATTACACCTGAGAGATCAATGAACATGTCACCTGTCGAATATTTTCCAACATCATGACCAACGGGGTTATTTGAAATCTCATCAAAAGAATGATGAACTATTTGAGATCAAGAGAGCTGATGAGATTTCAAATAGTTCAAGTGTCTGATTTATGAATTTCCTATGAAGACAGCAATAAGAATAATGGAGCAACAGAGTCTTTACGAGTTTTCTTAACTCTTTTACAAGACAATAACATTGGACTCTCTTTAACATCCCTTTCAGGTCTACTGTCAGCCTCTATTCGCCTTCATAGAGAAATGTTGCACAGAGAGATGGCCAAATAATGCACTGATAACCAAGGAATACAAAATTCATGTCCCCTGCTGTGGATCTGACTCCCTCAACCTCTTTCGCCTAGTCTGGAGGATCGTCTTTGTTTGCTTCACGACTGTCACAGCAATGCTCATGCCCTTCTTCAATGACGTGGTGGGAATCCTCGGTGCCTTTGGCTTTTGGCCACTCACAGTGTACTTTCCTGTAGAGATGTACATTTCACATAGGAAGATAGCAAAGTGGAGCAGTTGATGGTTGGGCCTAAAAATCCTGAGCCTAACATGCCTCCTTATCTCCCTTGCTGCTGCATGTGGCTCGGTGGCTGGAGTTGTGGTTGATCTGAAACACTACAAGCCCTTCCAAACAACTTACTAATGCCATCATTATCATTGCCAGTTAAATGTTTTGTTTGAGATCTAGACTGGATTAGATAGGGGAAAGTTGATTTTGAAAGACGTTAAGATTTTATAGATTGTCATCAATATCAAATGTAGCAAAATAAAGTGCAGCTTGATTAGTTATAGGCCATGTTTTTGGCCCTTGGAACATTCGGTTTCTTGTAATATTTCATAGCTGATCATCCAATACAATGTTAAACACTTGCATTCATAATCATGTCACACAAGTTGGCAGCTTGTTTTTAAAAAATAAAGGTCAGGTTAGCATGTTTGGGCTCTTAAGACAAACCTTCAGAGTTCAAACCCTCCATCTCCCTGACCTAAACCCATAGGACTCCCACTAAATTGAAGCCTAAGGCCCAATGGATTGCCTGATTAACCTTTGTGCTTGTGTATATATATGAAACCCCCATGGGCTGCTTGATAGGGTGAACCACCTCTTACCATGAAGTCTTGTGAACCAACCCCAGGGGAGTAAAAACACCTTTTCGCTTTAATACTTTCTTTTAGTAAGAACAATTGTTTCATGCCTGCTAGACCGCATGAAACAATATGCGGTCCAGAGCTATAAAGCATTCATTATAAAAATAGGTTGTCCATCTAAAAACAATGGTAACTAACGGTCCAAATGTTTTCTTAATATAATTATTATTTTTGGTTTTGATTTTTTTTTTTTTTTCTTCATATTCATAATCTCCATGTTAAAGATTTATATATACTCTAAAAATTAGGATCAAATTATATTTAAGAAATATATTTATTTGCCAAGCCTACATTTCTATAATATGTGAGTTGACCGCATGCTAACCGCATTCGTCCATAATGTTTATGTGACCATGAAATTACATAAATTTCATAAAATAAATAAGTAACATCTAAATCATACTCACTAAAACATTAAGGTTCTGAGCCCAATACCGCAAGACATATACTCTTTCTGTATGGTAGATTTTTACCACCTATTCCACATAATAATTATGACTAAAGTTTCCAAATTAATTAAAATTAAATTAGAAAATAAATTTTTTATTTTTCTATTTTTTATGTAATTGTAAAATTTATAATTTATAATTGATAATAAAGTATTGCACAGACGTATCGGGAAAGTACTGAATTTTTTTGGCCCTACATATTGAACACTCCAATACGTACCAGACACCGACACTTGTGTCAATGTCCATGCAACACTGGTTCCGGAAAATATTTTAAAAGGGAAAGAATTTGGTCTGCCTTGGGGTGGTTACTTATAGGCACCGCTCTCCTCAAAAAATCTATGTTAGGGAACTTTTTCGATTCCAAGCACATTCTCTTAAGCCTGGTTAAAAGTCTCAAAAAAAATAAAAAAGTAAGTGTTCTTTTAGCGCATTGAACACAACATCCACTGGATGACATTATTACTTCTAGGTCATTCAGAATGTAAAGTTTTATCTTCAAAATTTTTCATCTAGTGATGAACGTGCCATTTAGAAATTAGAGATGAGAAAATTCCTCTGACGCCGAGAGTTAAACATCCATCAAAATGGACACCATGTGTTTACTATTTTCTTTCTCGTAAAAAAAGAACTTCTATGGTCTTTAAGACTTTTTTTTTGCCTGGATTCAAGAGTGTGTTGTACAAAGTTTGGGGTCAAAGAAGCACTTGTAATCTGATTTTGGGAAAAAGATTTGCCAGGTGGACTTTCATCACGCATACACCCATGAGTCGACTGAAAACCCGTAGACCCACCCAAGCTTTTAATAATTGGACACTAAACCCTCACCCTTCATGTTTTCGCTCTTCAAATTTTGGAATCAAGACTTGCCCTCTTTTGGTGAACTTTCATCCCTCTCTCTTTAATAATTGGACACTAAACCCCCACCCTTCATGTTTTCACTCTTCAAATTTTGGAAACAAGACTTACCCTCTTTTGGTGGACTTTCATCCCTCTCTCTCTTTTCCTCTGCCTTTTCCCCCTCTCCATCTCTATCTATCCAACCTGTTGTCCCTGTCAACTCATTCTAGACAAGAGAGAGAGATAACAACGGGTAAAGAGAGTATGTGTAGAGGATGGGAAAGAGAGAGGGTCATGGGAAGTTTTAGATGAGAGAGAGATATAGGGAAAGACAAAGGGTGAGAATATATATATATATATATATATATATATAAAGAAAATATCGATCATGTCTGCCCATGGGTTGACAGCTACAGTGTCAGCTAACAACCCATATTCAATGATCACGACCTCATTTTCTATTTGAATTTTTATTTTTTATATAATTCTAAATCACTTGAAATTTTGAGAGTCAATTCTTAAAAAATAATAAAATC